ACCTAGTCCACATGTTGCTGTCAGTTTATATATAAAAAACATAGATTAGAGAGGTCTTATTACTGTTGCCTTTTAAAAAGTAGATATTTCCAGAGATTAAGGTTCTGAGTTGCTAAATAATATTTTCTTTCGTTTCCTACCAAGTTAAGAGGCACTTTCATAAAAAAATCATATATATATGTATATATATGATAGATAATGATCAGATAATATTTCATAAGAGGAATGTGTTATTTTCAAATTGAAATAGTATACAGTAGTAGGCTTCATATTTAATATTTTTTGCACATTACAAGAAAATGTAGAGAATTGCATGATATGATTGATCACTAATAACTGGAGCATGTGAGTTGAGGTAGTCAGAGTATAAAAAAGCAAAAAGGTATGGAGTATATGTCAGAGCATCACCTACCTAAGAGGTTGACTTCAGAAATGCGTCAGAAAAAAAAAATCCATCTTGGGCACAGAGCCACCAGATGTGGAGGTGGGGGTCAGGTCACCCAGGACTTCTGTGCCGGCCAAAAGGCAACTGTCAGTGATGAAAGCCTAATGTGGCTGAATACACAGCCTTATCTAGAGGGATGAAAAGAACAATCTCGAAGCCCCATTCTCCCCGAAACTGAAAACCAAAGGCAGTAAAATTAAAGGAGAAGAGGGTCTTAATAGGAGCAGCCCAATCAGAGCAGAATTAGTGACTCAATGCTGGGCACTTACAAAGCCATCTTTAGGGTATGTAGAGCTGGAAGATATAAGGAGGGAGTGGGGATAGCAGGGAAAAGTATTTACAGAGCAAAAATCAAATGGATGGAAGACAGGTACTTTGACATAGGGCAATCATTGCTTTATCTTTGATTTTTATCACAAGGAAGAAGGAAAGGCACAGGGAAACAGCCTTTCTAGGCAGCAAGACATTGGTCCACTCTTGGCTATCCCACTAGTGACTTATTAGGTATCACTGTGGGCCAGTCAGAACCTCCCTGGAGTTGGTTTCCTCCTCTTCTCTAAACATGGTAGAAGAATCAAGGTTATTTACAAAAAAAAAATAGTCATTGATTCGATAGCTTAAAAATTTTCTTAGATCTTCAAGAGATCTCCTGTTACAGATCTCTGATCAAACATAACTTCTACCATTTTTCTGAACATTACATAAAACAGTATAGCCCAGCCCACGCACTAGTCTCCTCCTTCCTTGTTCTTCCTCACAGCGCTTATCCCCATATGAAATTGAGAAATATATATGAAATATATGTTCTCATCCATTTACTTCTTATTTCAATCATTCCCTCCAGAGAAAGCCCTGGAGGATTCTTCAAGCAAGCCCATGCCTCAAGCAATGAACAGAACACAGCAATCTCAACAAATCTATGAGGGACTAAATTAATGAAAATAGTTGTCACAGAATGACAAAATAGTGAGGAGTCCCATATAGACAAGAATATTTCAAGATGAAGTCACACAATGTTGGCTAATCCTGTGAAAGAATAGAAGATGACAGACACCTGCAGATGGCATGCTCTCCTGTCCATGAGCATCCACAGCCGGGATGCTGTTCTCTCATTTGTCGTTTATATATATTTTAAAATAGTATGTTTACCTCTTTCTGTTAAGATATTGCCTAATGTACAACGTGGTCCAAACTTGAAATTCCTTCCAAATAAAGCTTTGGGTTATATATGACTAAAGTAAGCCCAATAGGAATCTGTTGTTTGTGAACTCAGGAGGAAGGAGGGAAGTAAAGATGGCTACACCTGCAACAACTATAGCCTTGGTTTTTTAAGGATTCTGTACCTCCTTCTAAACTCATTTTCCAAACTCATTTCCATTCTCTCTCTTTTATTCCATAGTCTTTTATCCTCCTCCCACCCCGGGTCTTCTTCTCCCTTCTTATCTCATTCTCCATACATCTGCTTTATCAGTAGCTAATACAGAGGTCCCATGGAGATTTTAAAAGAATCCTATTTAGTCTTGGAATGTTGGCAACGCAAGTAGCCCTCCCTGAAGGAGGAGGACAAAAGCTACCAGATGCAGAAGGCTCAGTAAATGTAGCAACCAGGAAAGTGGTCAGTGCCTTGGCTGTGAGAAGTGTTCTTGGGCTTCCAGGTCTCTTCCTCCCCCACCGCATGTCAACCACAAAACTTGCCCATAATCTTTTGACAATTAAGCCTAGAATCATTGGATTTTAGGACTAGACTGGGCCTTAAAGATCACCACACCAATCCCCGAAATTTACAAATGAGGAAATGGAGGCCAAGGGAGGTTAAGTGACTTGCCAGGGTCACAGAAGTAATAAGTTGACAGGATGCAGAGACCCAGATCCCAGAACAGGCCTCTGAAGATGAGTGCTGGGAAAATCCATTTTTTTATATATAAAACCATATAAAAGTGAAGTTTAGGAATGAACAGTGAGTACTTCGATTACAAATCAATGAATTTCTTAAGAAATTCCCAGCTATTCTCCTCCCACCCCCACCTTAAAGCAAATAAGTATGTGACAGTTAAAAAGGGAAAAGGCATAAATAAGTTAGGTCATTACACTTTGTTTTTACTCAGCCATTTATTTTCTCATATTTAGGAGTTTTCAGTGTAACATCTTATACACTTAGTGACTATTCCATTACGCTGACCTCTAACTTCTGCCTTTCAGTAATGGAAAGCAGCTGATTTTAATGTGCCGCCGCTTCAGTGTGAAGGAGGTTAAGGCTGCATGCATTTGAGTGCAATCAGGTTAAGATTGGCTCCAACAGGAGAAAAATCCATACATATGTTGAAAAGATCTGAAAAATGCCTGTATTCCCAACCTGATTACGACTTACATTTTTGCATGGTTTGTCAAAGCAGATCACCAAAATCAAATCAAGATGTATAAAGGGATAAAGTGGTTTTCTTCTCCATTCTTCCATTAATCACCGTGACCTATTAAAGAAAGGGACTTTTTCCTCTCACCTGAGGCAAGGTGGGATACTTCACTGGAAGTTATGCCAATTTTTATCGTCTCATGCTCAAGATCCAAAATTAATTTTCTAGTTTTTATTTTCCACATTTGTAAACAGATAGAAATGGCAGATTGCTCTGCCCTGAAATATCAACAATTAATTCTCTTTCATTTCCCTTTCAATAAAACAAAAACATCCAATACAACTTTGAAAGCCTACTTGAAGCTTTATAAAAATTTTGTCATTAACCTGAAAAATATAGGTACCGAGAGAAATATCTGACCCTTCATGATAGATAAAACTTAGTGAAGCCTAAATACAAATTTAAACAGAGCCCATTACTGAATCACTGGTCAAATAGAGAATACTAGCAAATCATACACAAGCAATCTGGAAGGAATGATTTAAAACTGCCCACAGCGTGAGGCATATTCTGTTAAGACAGTACACTGTTGTTATCATAAAAAATACTAATAGAATAAACATAGTTAACAATCTAGCTGTTATCTGGGAAATTCTCAAACAGGGCTAGGTCAAAATAAAGAGTTTTTGAGGGGACAGGAATATGTTGGCTCTTGTTACACATAAGCATGTTTGTTATAGGAGCATTTTCAGTTTAATTTTTGCTATTAACGTAAACCACAATCGGGGGACCAAGTTGCTGGAAAAGGAATGGGGGGGAGGGGCTAGTTAATATAAACAATATACAACAAAGAAAGTCTTTCTTTCCAATACCTGAATACATCAGGTTTGTTTTTAGGCAGAAGGTTGCAGGTTAAATGCTCTCAGCTATCCAAGAAGTAGCTTATTAGTTTTGTAAGAAAATATTTTCTTATATTTTGACTGAAAAATACCCAGTTTAAGTGAACAAAACCATCCTTGTTAGTGAAAAGCAGAACCAAAAAAAAAAAAAAAACTTTGTTTCAAAGACCCAGTAAGGAAAAGCAAAACTAATTCAAGAGGAAAACTGCTTTCTTAATAGTAGCTTCTGAATCTGGATCTAATAGTTCTCAGAGGGCGACTGGAGTCTTTGCGTCTTTAAAGTTTTGTCTCCCTCCATGGATCATAGACATTCTCTATGAGGCAGCATAATGTGGATATAAAACCATTTTAAGCAGAGATATATGTTCTTTTTCTGGGCTACATTTATAAAGCTGAGAAGCTATGCACCAACAGAAAGAACGAAGGAGAACAAGAGTTTGGATTATTGTGTAGGGCAGTTTTCCAAACACATCTTTCTTTTTCACTTTTCTATTTTGTACACCAGAAAATCCCAATTTCATCTGTGGGCAGTGGAGCATCCGCCAGTGATGCAAGTGATTACTGCTTTGAGAAGCAAAAGACTAGTGCTAAGAACTAACTGCAGCTCAACCTACTGCTTCTGCTTCAGCTGGCACCTCAGCTATGTACTCCTTTAATTTCTAAATGGGTCTGATCCTGTTATTACAGAATAATGACTGCAAATCAGCACAATTACTACCACGAGTTGAATAAACACACACATACCAGTAGCTGTTTTCTACAAATTATTATCAAAACAAAGAGCAATGGCTAATTGTGGTAACATTAAGACAACATTTATTCCTCCCAGTGTTTGGGTAAGTTTATTTTAAGTTGTCATCTTCAACTAGTAATGACGCGGATGATTTTACAGATTCCATAAACCTTTCTAATCTAAACTCTTCTCAACTCAAAGTTGGCTGCTTCCCTCAAAGCAACATCTGCAAAGGCCTGATTTCACAAGAACCGCTTTTATGGTACATTTGCTAAAAAAGAAAAAAGAAAAAAAAAACATGCTTTTAGAAATCTCATTTTAGAAAGTGCATTTGTAATGTATTCTTCTAAGTTATTTTTGAGGCATCATGAAAGTGAAAAAAGAATGTGCACTTTATATTCTTCAAAATTTATGGGGTTTTTTCCCCCCTAAATAAGTACAATGTAGAATTGGACCTCCTTTCCAAGGTTATTATCAGATTTCCTTCATGGATAAATAACTTTTATTGGAAGGGAGGGTGATGAGAGAATTCAGAAAGCACAGAGCACACGATAGAGATTATTCAAACCTACCTCCTGGACAGTGCCTCATGGCCATCTTACACCTCCTGGATTCAGCAATGGTTGGACATGGTATTGTGTCTTTTGCTGGCTTTTTAACAATTTGCCGTGTTCTGGTTTCCAGACCCCATTTAAATCCACACGTGCGATTATTTCTGCTACAAGTTCCCCATTCGCTCCAGTGACCAACTTCACATCCTTCTAATAAAGATTAAAAAAAAATACAAACACATAAAAATCTGCGCCATTTGCTCTGTTATCAAATTCATATAACAGTGTTTCTCCATGCCCCCTATTCTCAGAAAACCAAAATTAAAGTCCTATGGCCCACAAAGACCTACACTTGCCTTTAGGAATTAGACTTCTTTGAACCACAGGGTACTTTTATTTACAACAAATGCCACATCATAATTAAAAAGCTGTTTGTCTCTGTTTGTCTTAGCTTATATATATATTTTTTTTTAAGTGATGCTGCTGGTCAGTTCTAACAACACTGAAATGTATAAGCTCTAAAAGACTCGACAGCCAAACCCTACAGTAGAAGACACTATTTTTATACCATGACAGAAGCCGCAATTTTACAAGTTAATTCTAAATGCCTGACCCCAAATCCAAAAATGTGTTTATTTTGGAAGCACTTGAGGGAAATGATAGGAGGCTTGTTTTGCATTTCTGGTTGTCTCTTTCCACAGGTGTCTGAGGACCTCAGCATTACTTCTGAGTCTCTACATTGTTGCTGTACCTTACCACAGTTTGAAAAGTGAATGAACATAGATATATATTTTTTCCTAGCTATATAACAGCTTTTAGCATCCCCTTTGGTAAGGTATACAGAAGTAGAAAAGCAGACTGCGCCCATGCATTCCCCTGAAAACCTAAGGAGGGACTCTTCATCAACCTGCCCATTAGAGAGCTCCTTCACACTAGTAGATCAGAACTCGGATCCAGAGTCCACACATAAGAATTTATCATTCTGGAACTCAGTAGGCATCACAGCTATTTCTAAGATTTCTCAAAATCACTAAAATTTTTATTTGGAGAATACCCAAGACCATATTTGTAATATGTCTACAGTTAAAGATTTCATAAGCATGTCCACTGAACATCTGTAATGAGTGCAGGTCTTGCTTCTTAAAAGCAAATTCAGCATTCTGAATACGTTGTTTCAGACATTTCCTTATTTTTAGTCTTATTGTTTGCATGTATACATGACTCACACATAAATAAGAACATAAGTATATACAATTCTTCCACTTCACATTTACATATATTCCTTTTCTGAAAGCTTTCAATATGTAATTTTTTTCACAATATTTTTGCAGAAAAAAAATTACAAATCTTCTTTTAAATCTCCTCCTTTTAAGGGAGGGTAAACTTGCTTTTCTCGTAAACATTATTCTCTAATAGTTACAAACAATTTATTAAGAAATGGATGTACTACAGATACAAAATTGTATCAGCACTTAAATAAGTAAACCTAGCAAATATACAACTAGAAAATTTCATAGCATCATATATGTGACTACCAATCATGATGCCTAAATATTTCAGTAAGTCAGCAAAGAAGTAAAATGATTTTCAGTTCTAATGAACAAGAGAACTGATTCATTTTTAGGTTACATATATCCAGCATGCCCGTTTTCAAGAAATAGGTGATAAAAGTTGCAGTTTGAGAGTTACATTAAAAACTACTCACCCACGCATTCCATGGTCTCATCTAATGATGCAAAACCGTCTGGACATTCATCAAAGCAACGTCCTCGATGTAAGTAAAAGCCTACTTTGCACTTGGTACAAAAGTCTTTGCTAAAGCAAGAGTCACAGTTTTCTATTCTGCATCCTAAAAACAATTTTAAAGAGAAAGTATCAGTTAAGGAAATTTATTTATTTTGCAAATAAAATTCACAAACTCACTGATTGGCCCAGTAAAAATTCTAGTGGTCGGAGAAATACATGTTCTACGCATTTGTTTCCTAATGCTATCTCATTCTAAATCATTCTATGTCTTCCAACAGCTTGCCACATTAATTAGCTAAGTCCAAATGCCAGCCCAGGGCCCTAGGCAGCAAGAGGCTCTTTGGGATTGTTTGCAACTCCAAATGGGATTAAAACAAAGGATAAAAAAAAAAAAAATACCCACATTCCAAATTACATTGAGGCCTGGATTAAAATCTGTTCTGCCCTTCAAAGGACAATAAGAATACGATAATCAGTATCTTCCGTTTGGAGATAGTTATCAAGTTAGGAATTTTAAATTTGAAAATATTTTTAAATGTTTGGTCTATTACTCAGCATGCTGGACAAAGTATCAGAGGGTGACTTGACAGTGGTACAAGTGGGTAAGCTGGGTCATTGTGTGGAAAACTTATGATGGACCTAAGGCCTTATTCACATTTCCATTGACTCTTCCTGCAGAGTATATATTAGACTCTCCTCTTTGCAAATGAAGAGTCTAACAGAGTATTCTAGTGGCTGAGTTGGTCCTGAAAGCTCCCCAGACCACCTCCCTCCTAAATCCAGTATTTTTCCCCTGGAATTCATTAACTGAAGATTGTTGGGAATAGTCTGTGAAACAGAAGTGCTTTCAGGTCAGATCTAGTTTGAAGACTAGCTCTGTAATGGTGGTTGACCACATGCCTCTTTGAGCTTCTATCACTTCTGTTATAAAACAGAGATGTCACTGACCATCCAAGATTATTGTAAGGATTTGTAATAATATATGTAAATTGATTGGGTCATAATAGGTAGGCTGCAGATAGAAGCAAAGGTCATTAAAAACAGATTTGGGGAACTGGGATACAGCTCAGTTGGTAGAGTGCTTGCCTTGCATGCACAAGGCCCTGGGTTCTAATCCCCAGCACCACAAAACACACACACACACACACACACCAAAAAAAATATTTTTACACAAAACACAAGGGTTTTTGTTATTTGTTTTTTAACACCAGTGATTAATACAAACAGGCTTATATTCCAGATCAGACTCCCTGGTAAAACTAACCTCTGGAACACAAGGTTACACCTGTCACTGGGATGAACAGGTGAAAATAAATACACTTCAAGGAAAGGAGAGGAGAGTGGATTGGCTAATTAAAAGGTCATTTTGAACATAGTACATTACTACTTTTAATAGATTTAACTGATTAATGACATGTAAAGTGCCATAAAAGCTTCAAGGCATCACATTTATCCATTTACCAAGTCCCCAGCACTATATCTGGTGCTTTAAGGATTCTAAAAAGCTATAAAATATATAGCTCCCCCAAGCAAAGAGATAATGGGGTAGAAAATGTAACTAAAATATAAAATTGCTAAATATTAAAATATTTAAAATTTTTAAAAATCCAAGAATGAAAAGGTGAACTTTTTTTATTAAACTATATTACATTATAAATCATGACAGTTTTTAGACCTGTAAAATAATGGACTTTCAATTTTGAGTTTTTATGTTAGTTATTAGGCATTAAGTGACCGCCACAGAGAAGACAACTTCTAAAATGTTCCAAATAGGAACCAGCCACAAGCGGATTCAAGTCCATAGACAAATTACACGACGACTGCTTCTTTATAGGAGGAGGAAAATAGTGGGCATTGGAATCATAAGTTAATGTCCATAAAAGGTTTAGTTGTTATCTTAAATGCCATAACCTATATTTTAACAAAACAGTGGCCTATAGCTGGTCAGTTGCCTCTTAATCATGGTCAAAATACATGACCATTAAATCCACAAATTGTGGGTTTTCTTGCTATATTAAAAAAAAAAAAAGCAAGCATCTCTACTACAGAATTATTTTCCAAGAAAAAACAAGCATTTGAAAGGATAAAACAGAACAAATGGGTGAAGAGAACAAAGAATTTAGGTTTTAAAAAAAGACTATACACTTCATAAATCAGCTGTTATCTATAAGATCTGATTTCTCTTTAAAATGTGGCCTGCACCAACAAGCTTTTTGGCCAAAAAGTTATAGCAATAAGTATTTGAAATTAATTTTACAAGGTTTTTTTTACTGATCTTTATTATTACTTATAGCTCCCTTTCCTCATTTCATTCCATGTTCCTGATACCAGTTCAGGGAATGTGGAATTTCTGAAATACCTATCATTCTCTTCAAAGTAAGACTCTTTAGCATAAACCCCACTAGAAGAAAGCTTAATTACTTGTTTCTCAAATTTAATAAAAATATGATACATTCAAGTGGTAAAGTACTATCACCATTAAAAGGCAAAAAGAATTATAAGTAATGACTCAGAATAAAAATTCTAAAGAGCTCTTGTTAAGAAAAAAACTCAAGCTGCAGGGCATTTATAGTGTGAGTCAATAAAACTATATTTGCATGCATGCACAACCATGTGTATGTATGAGAGAAAATAGTTTCAGAGACTAATTTGGAGAAGGGATGGTAGAATTATAAAATGTTGAAAATGTTATATATAAATTCTGAACATATCAATCATATATAATTATATTTATGTGATAGGTTTAACCAAATAAAATTACCAAAGAATACATTTGTGATCTACTTATGTTTACAATCTATTGTATTAACATAATGAAATAAACCACTTGATTTCAATGGGCAAGAAAAAATAAAGGCATAATATCCCATCCCAAACTTCTTCAGATTGGGGTACATGAGTTATACCCTTTATTTAATAATACTGAACTTGCTGTACTCTTTGAATCATATATTTAACCATCTCTTGCCAGTATCCTGTTCTCTTGCGTTACAAGGCACTTTTCTCTCACCGTTTAAATTTTTTCCCTTATGATGAGAGTATCTATGCAATACAGCAATTAAAAAAAAAAAAAACAAACATTTTGATTGATGGCAAATCCTGACATCTAAGCCTTGCTGGCTTTCCTGGTCTCCATCACTCTTGGCCTCAATGTAAAACTCGCACACTCAGCAGCCTACCTTGAGATGCACCCCTACACACAGAAGAGCCCAGGGCTGTTCACAGCTGGCCCTGCACAAACCAACTTCTCCAGAAGTCTCCTTGGTGAGATGCAGTACCTGAAAACCTGTTCTCAGCAGCTACAAATCCATGCACTATCCCCGTCCAGCCAATTACCTAGGAGCAAACTCCTTTACTCTAGGGTGAGGAAGACCTCTTGGGGACCTCGAATTTCTATATATTCTCCCTCAGCCTGTAGCCACTTCCCAAAAGCCACTTCAGCATATTAGCCATGATTTAATTGGGGTTCATATCAACTGTGTTAACTTTTTAATATATATAAAGCATCATCATAAGTAAAAATTCAAAATGTTTCAGAAGGCTTAAAGGAAAATAGAACATCCTCTTTCTCACCTCAATGGCACATCCAGGCCTCCTCCCCAGAAATCTCAGTCTCTTGTCTACACTTTACAAAAATCTCTGTGTGAATCTTATAAATTGAATAAGTTAAGCATCACTAAAATACCGATGTGATCACACAATAGATTGGTAGACCTTAGAATACTTCATACTGTGTAAGAAAATAGGTATATCAAAATTTACTAAACATACGCCTTTTCTATAAAAATATGGGTTTAAAATCCTTGTTCAGAAATCTAAGACCCTACTTCAGCCAACTTACATGCCTCTAAATTACAGTGCCTCCTCAAAAATGTAATCCACCGAGGGAGGACTGCCAATATTGGTTTAAGTAAAATTACTGTCCAAGTGAAACTGTAGCCAACTAGAGTCTAATGGGGCTGTCATTTGGCAGGAAGAGCTTATGCTGGCCCCAAAACAGAAAAACAGGCTGGGTACCACCTCTCCTGTCCTCCCACAGAACCTCATACAGGCTCGAATGTAACATTTTTCAAATTATACTGTTGTCCAGCTCAACATTCATTCTGAACAGTCCCCAAGGCTTAGTATGTGCCAGGTATTGTGCCCAGACCCTCAGCACGTAAGATATTAATGCCATTCCCTATCCTGGGAGTCCTAAAAGCAAAAGAAGGGGCGCCACATGGCAGGAATAGGGCTTCAAAACAACAAAGCAGAGGCATGTGTTGGGTTTTCTAGAGACAGAGAAAAGGTTTTCATATCTGATCTGCCATTAAAAGTTTATTTATATTTTTGGTGACCTGTGAATTCTGTTCCTAGCACAGTGCTAGATACAGTGGAATTTCAATGCTTGCCAAAGTGAACGAACATGAATGCCATTTTAAAATTCAACTTCTTTCATATCTGAATGCTCTGTGTGAGATTGCTTGCACATGCACTGTAAATAGCTCCAATATTTAAAAAAGCTATCCTTGCTGTAAAGAACTGTAAATTACATTGGAAGAACCAACAGTTAATCACCTGAAAACAATTTTTAAAAGAGAACGTAAATATCAAAGTAAAGCAGGTGATCCGTGCTGTGGAGGTGGAAATCTCAGCTGAACCTCTTTTAGACAGAGGCAGGGTTTCCTGGCATGGGGGCTACCTTCACATGGCCGCAGAGAAAGCTCGCACAGCCTGTGAGGGGGCCTGAAAAGAGTGGCACAAATGAAGGGAAGGTCCATCGGTGGGGAGGCTTATTTAGGTTTAAAGGCTGTGAGTGAGGATGACAAATTATTTGTACTTGGTGTCGTTTGAAGTAATAATTAAAATGAATAGTAAAACAAAGCCAGGTTCAAGAATAGGGACTTAATCTGACTGGTAGTGAGTGATCTCTGTAGATTTCTGAGTACCTAGTTTGTTCCCTCATTTAGACAGGCAGAAGCCCCAGGATCCAGGCAGCCTAATAATGGACACACCTATGACACAGATGAGAAGCCATGTTCCCATACCCGAGGGTCTTCCATGACTGACAGGAAAGGTCCTCAGCAGAACCGGGTAATAATGTGACTGCAGGACTCTAGAAGT